ACCAACCCACGACCCATCTGCACGAGTCGCAATTTTCCCAAACAGGCAAATTTTTACAAATGATATTTAAAAAGCAGAACTCAAAAATACAAGATCATATGTGTAATAAAACACACTGGTGAAGTAATTACACTGCAAGTGTAATAAAATAACATGAAAATTAATTAAAAATTATATGTTACTAATATTTTCCCACAACAACGTCAGAAACATCAAACTTTCCATATTTGGCACCTAACTCAACACAGCTCTGCATCAAATTGAGAAGCCCTTTATTTTCAACAGATTTGAATGAGTGGTAACCATCAACACAGAAAAAGATCTGTCTATGCTTCAACATCATTAATTCTTGAGGAGACAGTTGAATTTTTCGTTTCAAGCATTGCTGGATTTTCAACTGTGACTTTGGCAAGACTACAGCACAATGTTTAATATGTTCTTGCTGATTTTTAGTGCCAAAGTTTTTACCTGATGAATCTTTAAACTGATATACCTTATTGCACTTAATACAAGCACAATAGTAATTCAAGGGAATTTCGCTTTCATCATTTTCCTTTTTTTGAAAAACCATGTGAAATTTCTGCCAGATTTCTGATTTTAAATTTGTGGGTGCTTTTAATATATACCACCCTGTTTTTTCTGGAAAGAATAAATATTTAAATACTTAAGTATGTTCAATCAATCAATTAAATTTATCTAATGAATGGGATTTCTAAACTTCAACAGCGCCCAACTAAAATTTGAAAAATAAACCATTTCTAGGTAGAAAAAAGAAAGAAAATGAAACATGAATATCAGGTAAATAAGTAAAATGAGCAATTGAGAAAAAATTCTGATGTCTGTAAAGTGTAACTGTAAAGACTAAAGAGATTTGAAATTATGAAAAATAACAATTAAATCTTTAAAAAAGGAATTAAAACATAAAAAATGTAAAAATGTTAATGTGAAATTTATTAGATTTTTTACTTTCGCAAACTTAGCAAATTTAAATCACACAAACCTCTCAAATGACGCTGAATTTCTTCTGATTCTGCCATACTTGTAAATAAAACTAATTTTCTCGATCGGAAAGAAGTTAACTTTTGCTCAACTCAATAATCACAAAA